TAGCTAATTACCAAAACCCCATAGTATGTTATATCAATCTTCTTCTTTTGAATTGGTTTATCCAGATATGCAATAAAATTTGAGGCATTTCAAATAAAAATCGCAACTTTGATATGTAGGTCAAAATTGGGACACCCTGTATAATTGCCAATATTTTAGAAATGTGCCCTCAAATGTCATGTATAACATGTCATTTCATGGATTTGTTTATGAGTAATATTCCGTCCTGGCTTGTCGAGCATATATTTCACTTAAAACTACAACAGTGTCGAATACTGATAGTCTCCTGAAGGACTTTTTGCTATGGGGGTTAGTCTGAATAATAAGATATTTGATTGCACTTTGTACAGAAGTATACATTGAGAACCAAATTTGTCTGACGATATGAATTCAATGTGTACGAGAGAGAAGTGTGTGTGAGAGACACATATGTTAGAAAGAGACAGAAGCTTTATATGCGAAGCTCATCATCGCGTTGCCTTCAACGCTGACGCGGCAATCTGCCTCGTTGCCAATATCCTACACCATTTCCTTGAAGATGCCTATTGAAAATATGCACTAGCTTATTCTCTCCGCCCAAATAATGGTTTTATTTTGAGCATACACATTTTTGAATTGTGAATTGTGCCGAATCTGCTTAGAATTGATCTCGGATGAGTCCTAACGGCGCTCCATTTTAGTTGGAAATAAAGGTCGGGATCGCCACAAATTCTGCAACATTGCATCATTGGTTGGCTTGGCAACACCGCATTTCGTACATTCCAAGGCAAGGTTTTTACCTCCATGATCATGGATAAGCGATTTTGGTCAGTACTCATCTAGCGCGCATTGGGTAATGTCATCCTGCTTCAAAATAGTTCTCACCTGCGTACAAACAGGCAGTCATAATTTAAATTAAATGTAACTATAACTAAGGATGTGTTGATTTTATTAGCATCGGTGGAAATTAAAGATAATTCTAAAATAAATTAAAACACTAAGTCGCATCAAAATTGAGATAAATAATCCTAATCAAATGTGCGAACATTTTCTGGTGTAACATATTGGCAATGCGGCAGATTGCACCACCTTCTGCGTCACCGTCACCTAGGCAATGTGAGCTGACCTTCGGTCTTCAGTCGGCTTCTATCTCTTTCTAAAATGTGGTGACACACACTTCTCGCGCTTCTCTCTCATACACATTGAACTCAAGCCGTCAGACAAATTTGGTTTTAACTGTATCTTAGTTGCTGCATTTGTTAGTATGTATATGACTTACCTTTAATATTTGAGATATAGAAGTGGGACCTTCTCTAAGTATTTAATCAATTCTTTAGGCTCTGTTTTTCTGTTTTTGAATTTAATAGTTTATCAAAGTAAGTAGAGATGAAGATAATGCATTTTCTTGACCTGTTCTGGCATTTAAAATTGATCGAAGTGTCCACAGGATATCCTTATTTTATTATACGCCCATGGCTCAATTCATCATTATTTATTCAGACTAAGTAAAATGTTGAGATGAAATATTTAAAGCAACAATGATAAAGCGTCAGTCAACAATAAAAGTAGAACCAATTATACCGTCCAAAGAGAAACATGGGCAGATACCGTCTGTTTGCATATACCCTTTAATTAAACACTAACTACTGCTTACCTTTAATTATAATGTCTGAATATTGTTTCGCAGTAGTCTCAAAACGTAAAAAACCCTTTCAATCAATATTTTCACAGTTACAATTGTTGTAACGCTTCTTGGTTATATGTGTATATTAAAACGACTGGTAGCTAGTCTGAACATTTTACAAAATTAAAATGTCCGGCGATTGCTTCTCAGCTGTCGATCTACATTTCAAGCTCTTCGGAATCTGGATGGACAACAGTACAAGATCTAGAATGATTTTGTATATTGTCTGGGACGGGTTCATATTTTTTTTAGCTTTTGGATTCGCAACATTAGAAGCCATGATGATCAAAACCAACTTGAAAGATCTGAAACTGTTCCTCAAAGATTTTGGCATGTTCGCAGGGCAGGCGATTGCCCTGTTGAAGTGTTGTGTGATGCTGTTTAACTATGATAAACTTTCCAGTATTAAGAACAGACTTCGAACGAGAGATTTCATCTACGATACCTATGGTAAGATATACTGGTAGTAGTAAGTATAATTTACAGATTAAAAAAACCCGCGATTTAAAAATGCCTGAGTTGTTCCTTAGAAACAAAACAAAAATGATGTCAAGTAGGTTGACTCTGCACTTCCCACGCAACTGTGTCAGTCTTCTAGGTCATGTTGCAACAATTGAAGGTACCTTTCTGAAGTTAGTGAGTTGTGGTAAATAAATCGACTAACTATTTTGATCCCTAGAATCCCACACCAAATATTATGCCCAAAATGTCCTCGATGTCTGAATACTTTTTTAGCCCGCAGATTTTCTTGAGCCCAGTAATGAGTCTTGCGGCGATTAAAGATACCATTACTAGTGGTCATACTGCTAGCGCCGATCGCTATCCTCTGGTCTAAGCCCTTGGCAAATTCTGAATTTAAAGGGGTGATATCTATTTTTGCCCAAAATAAATTGGGCTGTGGATTTGGCTACTCCTACATTTTTTTTTCAACTTACCTCGTTCTCAGCAATGGCTTGTAAAACACTATTCTGAGTTTTCTCTTTTTTCGAGACGTATAAGGCTTTTTGAATGAACTATAAAACTGAGCTTATTTGCCTGCCTTCTTTCGGGAAATTTACCAATACACATTTCTGCAGTTTCTTTAGAATGTTCATAGTACAAAATGTTGCGCGTCACCATGTCGAACTTTTCTTCATTGCTAAAAAGACTGCCTGGCATCTTTGACGATATTAAAGCAATATTAACAATACACAATAATAACAATACTCGGTGACAAGTATTTACGTCAAGCCAAGAAGTTGTCAATGACTGCTTAAAAAAAATAAGAGAAAACGCATTTTTCTTATATCCAAGAAAATAAAAGTAACATGTGATACATTATTGAATTTTTCGGACTATACAAAAAATAAAGTTGATGATGGTTTCTCAAATACGAACCGTCGGGCACAAGATTGATTGCCTAAAAAGCGTCAATGGAAAAGTTGCATTAGTTTTTTGATATTTCTAAAACTAAAAATAAAACAAAAATGATTTGGCCAAAATTTAGTTTCTTCCAAATATCTAAGTAAACAATGAACTTTTTCCTAATTTAACCTAAGCTGTATCTCTCACAGGTATTGAGATCCCCATTCGTTGGAACCTTATCTTGGTCACCCTGTATATGAACACTATATCAAAAAGTTCCCAAACTAACTCTGTAACTCACCAAGTAGTTGGAGCTCGATGTTGTGCCTGCTGTATAAATCAGCTAACCACCGCACAAAGTAGTGTGTGATACGTTTTGCTTTACAAGAATTTTGTTTAGTGCCTTTTGTTCGCTAGATTTCTTATTTTGGCTATTTCATCTTGAACGAAAAATTTAAGCAAAGAGTAAACATTAATTTTCACGTGAAACTTGGAAAATTAAATCCAAAAACCATAAATCCGATTCGGAAACTTTACGAAAAGGCGATGTGTCGCTCTTAAATTTTTGAACAACGACTTTTCTTAACATCCTCGGGTATGATGCTTGCAAGATGTCTTTCAGGTCGTTTGTCATCTTCCAAAGACTTTATTCCCAATGAAATCATACTATTAAAAAATTTGAATTTCCGCTTCATCACTATAAACTTGTCGAAGTATATTTGGTGTTTTTGCTGGTGGCTTTGCAAAATTTCCTTAGAGTTTTCGTTCATGATGACAGAGGAAATCAACCGTGCACAGAAACACTAAATAAAATTCTTATAAAACAAAGGCGATGAGGAAACTTTGCACACTAATTCGTGAGGCTATTGGCTGATTTATATAGCAGAAATAGCCTCAAGCTGCCATCTGGTTAGTTACAGAGCAAGTCCGGGAACTTTTTTATACACCTTTGTCCTTCAGGTCTGTTCTAGTTTGCTTATCTTGAGGATTTTTTGCCGATTAATATGCAATACTTTTCAAAAATCTCTCCCCCCTACTTATTTCTTGAACCGGTTCAGCTAGCAAGATTAAATTCCTGGCAATGAAGTTGATTTGATGCATGACTACTATAAAGTGTGTCCCAGATTCGCTTCTCTATACAGGGATCTCGGCTCCTGTTATACCTACAGCGAAGGTTAAATGGGAAAAGTGTTAGAAAAAACGTGGTGCTTTCGATAGATGAAATTTGTTTTTTGCCAGTAAATCCAAAACGGTTAATTTGACAGCTATCAAAATGTCACATTATTTAGACATTTTTTTAAGAAAAACAAGATAGCATCTATGACATGTCTCAATCGTCTTTTGTTTTCCAGCAACCCGCCACAACTTTCATTTTTCTTATGGCCGACATATTGGATTTTTTGATATTTGAAAAGAGTGTAAAATTTCCAGTCTAGTGATGTCTTGTTGAGAAGTCAATATTAACGTTAATATTCTATTGAAAATTTTGGGTGCTCATATGTTTTTATGCCTTACCCATTAATGTTATTTTCTGACAAATAAATCATGACCTCCTTAGAAAAAAATATTACATAACATTACGTGTGATGATATTTCGATGATCCAATCTTTTATGCACTTGTGACACATCACTAGGCTGGACATTTTACGTTCTTTTCGAAAATCGAAAAATCCAATATGGCGGTCATAAGAAAAATGAAAGTTGAGGCAGGTTGCGAGAAAACACAAGATGATTGAGACATGTCATACACGCTATCTTATTTGCCTGAAGAAAATGACCGAATAATGTCACATTTTGACAGGTGTAAAATTAATCGTTCCGGATTTACTGACAAAAAACAAAATTCGACATTTCTGTTTTTCGCCGATATTTCTAAAATCATTTCACTGATCGTAAATCTGAAGCCGGCTATCGTAAGCAGTAAGTTTCCACCAAAACTTTCTCCATTTAACCTTTGCTGTAGGTATAACCGGAGCCGAGATCCCTGTATCGAGAAGCGAATCTGGGACACATGGTATATAATGTAAAGGTGAAAGCTGAAAACTTTAAGATAGATGCTTTGTGCCATCTTGGAACATGTTCAAACATTGTGCTGATCCGCCATCTTGAATGTTTACAACTGCCACTTTCAAGCTGAGTATAGTATTTATGAACAAATTTGATCACTTCAAAGAAACAGGCAGTTTTCTCATGGATATGTCTCTAAATTTGGAGAAATTTCGCATAGGGGTAGTTTTCAACATGGCAACCAAAAGTCTCAAAGAGGCCAAGCCTCTGACATCCGTACTGTACCTCCTACGGAACCCGGAAGCCCCCAAGTAGGGGTTATTAATAGATACGAAAGGACAACATGTCTTATATATAATCCATATATCCATATATATATATATATATATTTGCAACAAGTGCTCTCATCCACGCTTCCGTTATGAAACACCATTTGGCTGCAACTTCAGCTACGAGTAAGTTGTTTGAAAAATTTCTGTATTGATTGCTAGCTTCATATTTCTGTTTCAGCTCCTGATGATGGCACCATAGCGTACCGAAATCTCGAGATTACCGTTAAATTAGGACAATAATGGGCAAAATCCGAAAAAAGGAGGAAAGTGTATTCGAGCAGAGAATAGGATGGGTAACCAGAGCCATACGTATTTCTGTTGGTTGGTTCATCAGGCCCAAAATGAATGCACATATGAAACTACAAAAGTAGATACACATGCCCACACATCCGGATACGGGTGTATCATGAGGAAACAAAGATGGAGAGGGAAAAAGAACGACACACGAAGTCATCAAGAGCCAACCTACACATTATAGTATAAAATGGCTAGAAACCTCGAATTTTCATTGCGGATTTTGCCCATTATTTTCCTGCTTTTTGTTATATACCTTTCTCCGCATGATCATTTTCTCTTTGAAGATCCTTTGGGCTTGAAGTAACAAAGCAAGTGGCTATAACCGGGTGCCTGGTTGTGGTTAGATGTCTCCTTGAAAATTCGAGGTCTTCTATTCATTTTATACTACAATGTGTAGGTTGGGTCTTGTGGATTTCGTGTGTCGTTTTTTTCCCTCTCCATCTTCGTTTCCTCAGGTTACATCCTTATCCGGATGTGTGGGTATGTGTATCTACTTTTGTAGTTTCATATGTGCATTCATTTCGGGCCTGATGAAGCCAATCAACAGAAATACGTACCGCTCGGGTTACCTATCATATTTTCTGATCGAATCCACTTTCCTCCTTTTTGCGGATTTTGCCCATTATTTTCCTACTTGTTGTTATATACCTTTCTCCGGATGATCATTTTTGACCTTGTAAGTGACCTTGAAGGTTATGGTCAAAGTCGGGTCAATTTTTAAAAGTCGTATATCCAACTTTTCGCCAGGAAAATGGACAAAGCGGAAGATCTACTTTCAAGTAGTACTTGAGCATTCCGGAAACGCAACGTTTGAAGCTCATGGTCAGGAACCCCCCAGACATGTTTCGGGACCTAAAAAGTCTGTCCGGCCAGTTAAAGTGAGATCTAATACCGATCAGTCAGTCAACATAAATAGGATGCCTCACTTAAAAAAATTGACTTGACCTCGACCATAACATTCAAGGTCACGGACACGGTCAAATTCCTATTTACCATTGTCCAGATTGGAATAAATCTTAATAACTGTTTGTGTTAACTCTTCTTTGCCGATATTAAATAATCATATATCAAAACGCCCACTTCTGAGTTATATAGGTGGTCGGGGAGGAGCTTCCTGATCATGACCTCCAAATGTTGCGAATTCGAAATGCTCAAGGACTACAAGATGTTTCGCTGTGTCCATTTTCTGAAGAAAAGTAGGATATACGACTTTTAAAAATCCACTGATCACAATTGGCCAGTCTTTGAGAAATCTCAACAACAATGACTGTTTTACTTTAAGACTTGTTCTCCCATTAATAAATAACCCCTACTTTTTGGTATCCAGGTTCCGTAGGGGGTAAAGGAGGGGGTCAGGGGGTTGACTCCTATGCGAAACTTCAACAAATTTAGCCGAATGCCATTTCAATTAAGGAAACTGCCTGGTTAATTCAGCTAGCTAACTTTACCCATTTAAAACATAAGGTTCTGTAATTGAACTATACAGTGCGAATCATTTACGATTAAGGTCGGCCATATTTCAGTGTGTACGAGAGAGAAAGCGAGAAGCGTGTAACACATGTGTTAGAAAGAGTTAGAAAGCGTGCTCCGTGGCCTTCCTCGGCGTCGTCCACAGGCAACGTGCACAGAGTTGCACACTTCTCTTGCTTCCTTATCTCTCGTACACATTGAAACCCGGCCGACTTCAACCGTGAATGATTCGCACGGTATATATCTTATTGATTGTGTAGGATCGTTCGACCAGGAGAAAATGATGTCAGAATCAGCAAGATTCTGCAACAGCTTCGTGAAATTCATCATTCTGGCGTATGCGCTGGTCGGAGTGTCAGCTCACATATCTGCCCTCTGGAGGTTGAATACCGAACAAGAAGGAACATACTTTCAAGAGAACTCGACCTGTTATGACTTTTTGCCTTATATGTATATGATACCCTTTGATGTTGGAAGTATCGGCAGTTGCAAATTCGCGCTGTTTTTTATGGACTTTTGCTTTTGTATCATAGCGTCATATATTTCTGGTAAGTATGATACTTCGTATTATAAGAAAAACATACTTAATTGCTGAATCAGACATGTTTGCTTTCTGTATCTGTGATCATAGTCAACCACATACAACGTTGTTTCATGCTTTCTAGCGATCTTCAGTGCGGTATAGCTCTAGTTTAGTCTTGTCCGTTCAATTGAAAAGGGCTGTCAGTCAGATATGCCGGAAAACTATATACTTTCTTGCTGGCGACATAGGCGTAGCTGGTATCGCGTTTGGTGAATCATCGAATCACTATTTTCACTCGTTTGCTTTCCGTTGTTTGTGTCCAGAGACTAGCAACGTTGTATACAGTTGGATATGGCCACAGAAACGGAAAGCAACCAGATCATATTCAGCCGGTGTGGCGAGCACCAACCGAGAGGATTCAAAACTAAGTTAGTTTGTTGCTGAAGATGTATGAAATTTGTGGTGGAACTGGCTCCGTATACGAATTTAGTAGATCTGTGTAGCTTCAGTTTAATACTAATACACATTATCTCATGATTCGAACACAGAATTCCTAAAGTCGCTAAGTTTATATACTTTCAACAACATATTAACTTAGTTTTGAATTCTCTTGGAGGTCGCCGCGCCCTAAACGTGGTATTGCTTTGAATGCTTAAATTGATTGTGTCGCCAGGTAACTTGATTTTACGAGTATACATCAGGGACTCCTTATAAGAAACAAAATACCCACCAAATATCCTTTATTTTATTTAACCTCATATCAAAAGGTTACAAATCATTGTAATTTATACAAAGAACAAAAATTTTTTTAGAAATGTACTAAAATTGAAATACTTGTTTGTATATGTGTATATTGAAAACCTGTTTCACAATGATATGTTGTGTCAAATGGGAGCAATGTTAGGATGTCCATTTTGGCTAGTTGGCTGCTCCTAACACCAACTCAAATTGTGGATGGACTTGGAAGATCTAAGAATACTTCATCATCTTTTTTCTTGTAAAAGGATTAAAAGCGGAAGACATTCAATGTGGTTCTATTCTGCGCAGATAATAGAAGTTTGATTTTCTTTTAAAGGCTGATAAGTTGTCTCTAGTCATAAATAAGGTGCTGACTTTCTCTGTAAATGTGTAGTAATTTCACTGACCGGTCCATAAATTTTGGTAGGATAAGCCAATTTTATAAGCCATTGCTCATCATGCGATAGACCCAAAATTGTTGGACGCCTACACTCCGTTTGCCTCATTTGTAAAATATTCAGCTCGTCTTGAAATTCATATAATATGTCTAGAAGTATGCCTCTTTGCATGAGGAGTGATCCGTAACAACTTACAATTTCTTGGCACACCTTTGGGTATTGGGAATTAGGTATTTAACTGTGGTACTTGCTAACAGCCAGAAGTGAATAATTTCGCGGTACCCTGGTGACTTACGAAGCGCCCAAACTCTGCGCAATCCACTTGAGGAATCGCTGCTATATGTTTTGCCTCGGTAATGTATTGAGATTGTTCACTGGATTCGATTGCACAAATAGAAAATTAAAAAAGAAGGACATTTCAATTGGACCTTGTTTATAACAAAATGTCAGCCAATATGTTCGACGGACCTACATTATTACAACTTTTCCAGGCTATGACGCAATTTTTTGCTGTCTTCTGAAATGCTTAGACACACATTTTCAAATATTGAGCGCAGCAACGAAAAACGTCAGAGAAAGGCTACTTTCAAAGGGTAGTTTGCCTATAGAAGTACTTTATGACGATGATTTTCCCAAGTTTGAACAAGAAATGTACAAAGAAATCAAAAAATGCAACCGCCATCTAGAATTTCTGCTCAGGTAACAATATTTTCTGACAAGTCATGGGCGGCAGTGCCACCCTACCTTTGCTACCCGTTGTCTGTCTTTAGTGGCTAGACCCTTGTGGCACTGTCAAACTTACGTAACTTTTGCATATTACATTAAAGTGAGCACTTGGTGCTTCCCTAAGTGACGGGACGCCTATATGGTAGGTCGACACTTCTTCGTTTCAGTGAAGCGGACCATCATTCAAAGTTGCCGCGAAACGTATGTTGTTTCCTGCTACCGATGCAGAAAACGGTAGTACCGCATTTCGTGAACTACTCAATAGTGGCACCTCTTTGCGTTTTATATGGGTATTCAGAATATCGATACAAACATTTCAAAGGGTGATAGCACTCCCTATTTGGCACACATTGCGCCACATATACCTAAGTATAAAGTCGTACTGTTTTTGAGTAACTCGCAATTTTGTGAAATCTTACATAGAAGCCAGAATCATGAGATAAATCTTGACTTGTTCAATAATGAAACTGAATTGTTCTATAATTCTATAATATAATCTCCCTATACAAGTAGGTGCCAAGTTATCAAAAGACCGCGTGGACATGATAAAATATGGCGTCAAGTAGGTTGACCCTGCACTTCTCACGAAACGGTTCATAAACTATTATATTCAGCACAAGTCAGTCCCTCTGAAATAGATACAAACATTTGAACAAATATGTAAACAGATAAATTAAATGGATGAAGACAGTCAAACAGGCCTATGCAAAGTGTCTGATAATGATCTGGAACACCAAAACGAAGTTTGAGAAGTTGTTATTTTCTTCGAGGTCTTGCCCCTCAGCTATCACTGGACCGAATTTCCAACATTGCGAAGCTCTTGTGCCCCTGGCACAGTAGCTACCCTGCGTGAAAGTTTCATGGAAATCCGAGTGGTATTTCTAGAGTTATAGGCTGTTAAAATATTACACTGTTCGGCATTCTGAAAATGTTTGTCGCTTTCCGAAATTTTTTCGGGTTTTTTCGTCTACTGTTTTGTACTAAAATCTAATATGTAGTCTGTTTCTCCGCATCACCCACAAGTTTTTAGAGATTGGAGAATATAAAATATGGAAATCCCAAATTATAAGGGATCTAGTGGTAAATTCTTAATTATTAAAAAAAATAACAAATCCACTTTTATAAAAAATATACTTCTTATTATTGTATAAAAAAACAAACAACAATTTTCTTGGTTGTCTTTTTTCGCTTGTAGTCACCAGGAGCGGTTTCACGTTTAATAGTCCAACAGTAGTCCGCCACCATGTTTGCGGTCCAATTTCCACTATAGCGCTTCTTCATCTGAGCGGCTGGTAAAATCTTTCGCCGTGCTCGTCTGAAACTACATTCAAATTGTCAGAGAATAATTCCAAATGGGAGTGAAACAAATGCAGCTTAAGTGACATATTGCAACCTAAGGCCTTATAAGATTGGATGAGTTCTTCTACTAGATCTTTGTAGTTGTCCGACTTTTTTGATGCCTAGGAAGTGGCTACATATATTTTTGAAGGCATCCCATGCCCTTTTTTCGGTCTCGAAAGTGCAGTTTTTAAATTTTCGTCGTTATTAAGTTCTCGTATTTGAGGTCCAACGAAAATTCCTTCTTCAAGCTTTGCTTCTCTTATACGCGGGAATGTCGGTCTCAAATAAAGGAATGGATTTCTTTCTCTATCTAAAGCTTTCACGAAAATTTTTCTTCTAGGTTCTAGTTTTATGTGCAGAGGAGCTAAATAAACTTTCTGCTGATCTACTAAGGGTCAATTAGGACATTTTTCTGGCCGGGCACGACGATATCACGTAACGATCAATGTTTAACTAAATAATGTTGGTTTCTGGCTCTTCTGTGTCATTCCCATTAAAAACAACATTTTGTGAAGCCACTCTGCAGTCATGTGAGCAATGCAATATCTTTGAGAGCGGCAGAGATATTCCACTTATGATCTTAGTATTTTATGCTTTGGAGAAATATGCGCATGTTCTGCTATGTATCTTCCATATTTACAGCATGACCAACGGGAACTGATGGCCGTTCGTTTCCATTGAATAACAAAACTGCCTTTAGACTTGTGTTCGAAGAGTCAACAAATAGTCGCCACTCGGTAGGTACATAGGAAATGCCTGGTTCATTCAGTAAACCTGGAATATCATGACAGTAAACTAATTCAGTCATTTTCCATCGAGAAAAATACGGCCAGCATAGACTGACTGCCTTATCCGAAACGTGGACATTTTCACACTTGTTTGTAAAAGTTTTCATTGCTGCAAACGAGTTGTGCTCTTTTGGGAAGATCTAAATCATCTGGACTCCGTCACATGATACGACAATTTAAAAGTCGGTGTAAGCGGTAAATATGTAAAACTTATCGAAATAACGTATTTGGCAGCGAGGATTTCCGCTAATTAGCGGACATACCGCCAGACAGACAGACCGACGGAAATGAGTCACATGATTTTTCGTGATCTTATAACATCCAAAAAACATAAAATCTCATTTTCGAAAATGTTCTCGATTACAATACTTCCCCGCCAGTAGGCGTGGGAAGTAAAAATAACGTTTGTTTACAAAATGGTTTGATTTTCCAGTGCTTCGTGGCTTTTCGAACGAATTTATGGAAAAATAGGTAACACTGTAATTTAAGACCAATAAAAAAATTTGGTATGGTATGTCATAAGAAGCGATACAACTATACATTTTTTCAGTAACACAAAATATTCGATAAAGAAGAATGTCATCGAAATTACAACAAAAACGTAAAATTCATTTTTCGTCAAACAAATCACTCGACAGTAACAAAACTGTTCATTTACCCGACAAAATGCAAGATTGTATCTTATGTGCATTTTCGAGCCCTTTTTTCGTGTTCCTGTAGTAGTAGTCAGTCTGCTAGGAGCGAATCTATTTCACTGGGTTTCACAGTACCCGTTAGCTTCTCTGAAGATTCACTGGGAATATAAGGAAATTGTGCAAATATAAAATATTAAAAAAACATGAAAGATAGACAGAAATATAATTAAATAATGTTCTCAAGATATATAGTATTACAAAACTTCATAAGTGCAAAACCGTGCCGTGATTTACAATGCATCGTTATGTTGTCGAAAATAAAAGACTAGCCGCTATGTTGATCGCTAACAGATTCGGGTGCACCTAGTACTTCTTTGATGGCCAGATGTAGCACCTACTTGATTCTTGTGTGGATCTAGATAAAGCAACTGGTCTATACGACGAAACGTCTCCTAATAAATGTATTTAACGAGTAGTGTTTTATTTGTGTGGAGGTAGCTGAAAAATGTGACGATCTCCACCTACCAATGATTTAATAACTAAAGGCAGATAACTAGAAATGACATATTTTAGATCAATAAACATGGGAGAAAACCCGCAGAAATGAAAAGGCACACGTGATTTACTAAGAAAAGTACAATAACAACTTTAAATAGGATTTTAAAACACACATTAACCGACAAAGTGGGAGTATGGATGGCTTCATTTAATCATAGATCCTTTTTTAGGTGAAATATCCCATTTAGGGCATCAAGTATATCTTATGTTTTGTTTTCTGTTCTCTGGGGCGTATATCGAGTATGTTGTCAAAATCGGTAAATAAGTATAGTAGGGGTATATTGTCTAAATCGGTAGAGTTGGGTATAGGGTATTTTGCCAATACTGTTTTATTTGCTACCACATAAAAATAAATGGTGTACTTCTGGGGTGCGTGCGAAAATGTTAATTATATTTCTGTGTATTAAGTTTCATGTTTTTTTGCAAAATTTTAAATTTGTGAATCTTCAGAAAATCTAGAGATACTGTGAAACCGATTCGCTCCTAGTGCACTGACTACTAATTACTACAGGCATACGAAACAAGGTCACGAAAATGCATGCAAAATAACAATTTGCATTTTGATTTCCATAAAACATAAAAGCTACGTAGCAGCAGGAAATCGAACCATTCAGTAGGCCAATATTATTTTTTATAACGACGTGTACTTAATATTCAGATAACTTGGAAACTATTTGTATAGGGAGACTATACATCAAGACAGATGATAAATACAAGAGATCAGAGGAGTTGCTCTTCATTATTGAACAAGTGACGGTTTATCGCATGCTTTTGTCTTTTCTAGGACTCCACAAAATTGCGCGTAACTCAAACATGGTTTCACTTTGTAGTGAGGCATATGTGGCGCAATGTGTTCCAAATAAGGTGTAATGGTACACCTTGAACGGCTGGCATCGATCCTCTGACCACCCTGTATACTGAGTTATTTAGCTTGTTTGCTTTGAGTCGTCGGTCTCCAGTAACTAGATCTATACCGTAATAATTATTGCTCAACAGCATGGAACAACATTGGATATAGTTGGTTACGGTCACAGTGACGGAAAGCAAATAGATCTTGTTCAGCCTTCATGCTTAATCCCTATATTTTAATGCAATACTTTATATTTGGATCGGAACCAAAAACGTTACTTTTCCATACTGTTGGATAACAGTTCCAATTATGATTCTAATCTATACATTTCCATTCATGTTCCATAATTTTTAGGATCCACCGGGACATCGATAGAATATTTAGCTTCACTATGTTGCTCCAATGTCTCACATCAGTGTTTATTACGGCATCGAACTTTTTTGTGGCATCAATGATATCTCCATTTGATCCTGAATTCTACTCTTTGGCAGAATACATGTTTGCAACATTAGCACAGCTTTGTATGATATGCCATTTTGGTGACAGGATAACTCAAACGGTAAAGGACAAAGTTATAAGTAGACCGATTGATCTTAAGACTCTCGGGACGTAAGCAATTGAGTGAAAATTATTGTTTATGATTAGTAGTCAAAAATGCTTATTGGAAGCCCGACAAGTGTAGAAAAATCTAGTGCCCCATACCTAAAGTACATTAGTTACCCTATCGAATAATATATTACTTAATCAATTCTGTGTAGAAATTCAGATGAAGATTAATAACATGATATAATAAAAATTATTTGTGTAGTTTTTAAACTTGGTAAGCCTATAGGTATCCAGATAATCATACTAACAGTCCCGGAGTGTGGGTGGTAAGCTTAGGTGGGGGAGGGGGAAAGGTATCTATTTTCATCTAAGTAATATCTTATTATAGTTCCCCCCACTAATAAATAATTTATATTACATTTATAAAAAATTTCGAAATATTCATATTTACTGTAGAATCGGTGCTTTATGAGCTGTGGGATATCTTAGTTGATAAAAATAAAACAAGTGCAATTTCTGGCATACTTTAAGGAAAAAGAAATGTTTCTGCCTGTTAGGTTATTGTGATAGAAATTGCCTGTATAATATCCGGGCAACAGTAAACACTACCCTTTTTTTTAATCAATTATATATAAAAAAAGAAAAAAGCTGCTTGATCTCCAGTCAAAATTGGTCAATTTTAGGCCCAGTATTCAATTGTGACAAAAAGGAAATATCTTTACTTGAGCGGACAAGGCAGACATTACTAAATCTAGTAAGGGCAATAATCGACAGCAACCAAGACAGAGCATCGGGATCTTGGTGTCAGCTTGTTTTTGATTTTGTTACGTCCGACTTATACACTAACGAGTGAAATTTTTAGCCCTGTAAAATTCCCAAGGGAATTTTAACGCTACTATGCCACTAACACTAACATAACATAACTTAAGGTCTATCTCGGTTGGTGCTCAAAGAAACTGGCAGATGCGGTCAGAGGTATTGAATTATCCAATTTTTAGTTGTATAATTTCTCGGGGTGGGACATTCGCTGGAGAGGGCAAAAGACACATGGTTTTTGGTAACCCGAGCAGAAGATCCCGCATGTTAATCATCTAGAAGTACTGGCAGTTTTCTTCTGTTGTGAATGCTTTGCTTCCGACTTGATGGGCTACCGAATATTATACTCCATTGATAATGCGACAACTATATCCTACATCTATAGAATGGGGAGCTTCTAGTTTCCACGTCTAGACCAGGTTGCAGGAGAGCTATGGCAGTTGCGTAAAGAGAAGCATCTTGCTGCCCTCGCGTCAAATATAAAATCTAGGAGTAATACTGAAACAGATAAGCTTTTTTGTCAGTGGGACGTAGAAACCGGAGTGGGAGCTACACCTGTCACCATCATGATTTTGGTTCATGTGTTCGGTGTCCCTGAAATTTCGCTTCTAGAAACATGATGAAAGCGTTTGAGGTTAGGTTTGTTTTTATCATCCCATCACAAAACAGCAAGAAAATATAAAGGAGTTAACACAAAACATGTAATTTCTTGTCACGTAGCGCTTCTAGCAGCCATTGTACTGCTCCAAACGCGCAGTAGGCGTTTACGCACTTTTAGCATGCTATTAGAACAGGTTCTAAAAAATTTAGCACTCAGTTTGTTCATACAAAATTATGTACTAAAAGCTGTCTGACTAGCGTACTAAATTTAGCATAAAATTTCGTGACAGATGGCCTGAACACAGGGTATACAAAAATTTGATAAAACCAAAATGGAAGATATAAAGTTCATCTTTGAGGTTCCATTTCACAGGCTACGGGCCAATCGGGTTGATAGATTTTCATATATTTATATAGCCTTAGATTTGCTCTGACAGAATAATTGAAAATTCGTACTTTTCATCAGCTGCAGTCGAGCTTCTTGTTGATTTTTTGAAGATACTTGTTTGATTTTCCTCAACCAACATACTCTGTAGCTCCTAAAGTACTGGTCATATAGTAAAAATATATGATACAGTTTGTTGTAAATTCAATATAGATTATTAATGCAGAAGGAACTATAAACAGTATAGTTTACGAGATACACACAGAAACATGAAAATAGAGACCTTTTCCCCGTACCCCACCGCTGACTCACCCACAGTCGGAGAGTGTCAGCATGTTTATTTGGACACATCGAAGAACCTCTCTATCAATTTCTAAAGCTGTACGAATTACTTTGTCTATATAACGTATCAGGAGCATAATGATCTAAGGCCGTGATTGGCTCTAGGTATCCGTCAACCCCTCACGTTTAATACCACATATCAGAGGGCAGTTGTTTCCTTGGCCACCCCTGCATTTGGTGGAATAGTATTATGTATGCGTGATATTTCGATAATTCCAATAGTAGGAGGGAGGACAGAAGGATTGGTAACTGATTTAAAAAAAGGTTGTATGTCTGCTAAGCTTAGTCTGAGTAGAGAGAGTATACTGCAAGAAACGTGTCTTGTCCCGCTTTTGCTATGGCGTCCGGAGTTGATGTTTGATCATAGAATACAGCTGCTATATCTTTTGCCAATGGATTTGGTTCCAAAAGCTTGATAAGTGATACCTTGCCCTTCCTGTAAATTGCAAAAGTTGTATCACAACCACTGAAGCTATGGAGGAAAAGAATCGAACCACCAAGTAAATGTTTTTGAGGTTCTTGGGAAGAAATTTTCCAATTTCCACGTTTCCCCTTCTTGTCTCGATAAAATATTTCTTAGGCTGCTGGAGTGAACGCTATTAGAAGGACTACAAGATCAACATGTTCTCCAACAACAACAACCACAGGATTGTCCGACAATACAACATACCTTGACGCGTAGTATGAAGAGCTGTGGAGGAATGCCCTGCGCAAGGAGCATCACAGAACATTAGCAGAATGGCTACAGGCTTCTCATTTGAGCAATTTAAGGAAATATTCAACAAATTTTTTCAACTGAATTCATTGACAAAAGATATGGCAATTGTATTGTATGATCTAACATCAACACAGGAGGCAGGAGCCCTCTCCATCGTTTCCCCAGGTTACACTCGTATCCGGGTGTATGGGCAGCTGTGTCCACTTCGGGTGTGATGGAGCAAACACGCAGAAATACGTATTGCTCGGTTTACCTGTTCTTTTGCTGTTCGTCCACTTTCCTTTTTTTTGTGCATTTTGCCCATTATGTTTTTTGCTATCTGTTATGAAATGATAAGATAACGATCCCTCATGTTTTAAATTCTCCTATTCGACACATTTGGAAAATATTAAATAAGTAAAATGTTGTTTATCAAAAAACCCCTTGAGCCTGTTACTTAGATCTCATATTCAGAGCAACTATAAGGTCTTTTTTGTAGAATATTGGGTGCTTTTAAAAATCTGGCGAAAATACCATTAAAAACTCACGTTACCACTTTAGCACTTTATTTTTCCCAGACTCAAATCCTAAGAGCGCTACTGTGTCCCATCCAAAAACCAACGCAACCTAGTGAAAACTAGTGTTTATGGTACGAAGTAGTAAAAAATACTTGAAAATCCTTAAGTACACTAATTACCTCCAATCGAATAATAGTCTTCAATCATTTCCGCATAGGAATTTTGATAGTTCAAAGATAAATATGAAATAATTGTAGGGGGCATTTTTTGGGTAAGAGTACTGATGCAAGATATTTTTCAACTTTTTTAAAGTTCCTCCTACAGCCATTACTTGTATAAATGTAGCTCACTAGAGCAATTTAAGGGAGTGTTTAATAACATTGTTTAACAATCTTTATTGACAAAGATATAGCAACTGTATTGTATGATTCAACTCCGGAGCCAGGAACTACCTCCATTATCGTTTCGTCAGATTACGCTCGTAAGCGAATGTATAGGCATCTGTGTCTACTTTTGTAGTTATCTTTGTGCATCCATTTAAGGCCTGATGGAGCCCAAAAAGCAGAAACACGTATTATTCGGGTTACCTATCCTTTTGCTGCTCGTTCACTTTCCTCCTTTTTGTGGATGTTGCCTATTATTTTTTTTGCTATTTTTTATAAAATATTAAGACAATAATCCCTCATCTCTGTTTTAAATTCCCTTATTCGACACACTTTAAATATATTGAACAAGTAAAATGTTGTTTATCAAAAAACCCTTTGAGTCTGTTTCTTAGATCTCATATTCAGAGCAACTATTTTTTTACAAAACATAGGCTGCTTCTGAACATTTGGCGAAAGTACCATTAAAAACTCACGTTACCACTTTAGCACTTTGCCCTCCCCAGACTCAAATCCTAAGAGCGCTACTGTGTCCCATCCAAAAACCAACGCAACCTAGTGAAAACTAGTGTTTAAGGTAGAAGTAGACAGAAATGCTTATTGGAAATCTTAAAGTACACTAATTACCTCCAATCGAATAATAGCCTTCAATAGGAACTTCGATAGTTCGAAGATAAACAATAAATAATTGTAGGGGGCATTTTTTATGTAACAGTACTGATACAAGATATTATTCGACTTTTTCAGAGTTCCTCCTACAGCCATTACTTGTATGAATGCAGCTGGTTCAGTACTAGCAAAAGGTTTAAGAAATGTATTCTGATTATGATGACTCGATTGCAGATACCTGCGATGATGACAGCTGGAAAGTTTTTCCTGCTGAACCTACCTACAATCATTTCCGTAAGTTTTTGTTTGAATAACTATGTACACACTTCACACTGACGACATATAACCAGTTGATAGTCGTTAACTAATGACGCCTAACAGAAGTTGCATTTTTGGTTTAGAATTATATTGAATGAAAACTGCGGTCAAAGTCAAAATTAATTTTATATCATATTTAAACAGGTGCTGTGTTTTTGTTACAGGTTATTAATACATCATTCTCTTACGCTGCAATGTATAGGGCAGTAGGCCAAAGATAGGCACAGAAAACTTTTCTATATGCATTTTAACTATTGTAGTTTGTCTTCTGTTTTAAATAAATTGATAATATCTGCAGTTGATATTTATTACGTATTTGGGTGGACCTGATAACATACATTACGTTAATATCAAGACCGATGTTTCCGACTCTTGTTTTTTTAAACCAAATTCCACTCACTTCATTCCTGATTCAAACGGTGTGAAGTTAACAGCCAAATTCCAGCAGACAATTTCCAGAAGATACCCGAACAAACAGTGGCGTAGTTCCTGATGGAACAGTATGCTCTTATAGCACCAATTAGGGTTACATACAAAATACTAGCAGAGACAATCGATTTCAACCCTTATGAAATTGGTGTCCTCGATGAAATGTATCTGGAAAAATTACTCATATATTATGACAATTTACTGAGCAAACTTCTAAAGGGGTAGAAGCCTAAGACCAGATAATTAAAAAATAAATTTCAACCCTCAGGGAATGGGTGCCCTCGATGAAATATATTTCGAAAAATCACTCATATATTGAGAAAATGTATGGGCCACTTCAAATTTACTGAGTAAATTTCTAAAGAGGTAGCAGCCAAAAGTTCGATAATCGAAAAATCGATTTCAACCCTTAAAGAATGAGTGTCCTCAATGGAATGTGTCTTAAAAAATACTCATATACAGGGTGTAAAGTTAGTAGTGGATCAACGGAAGTCAGGTGATAGAGGGCCTCAAAACATATCGAATGAACCCTTATTATGTGTGTTCCGAAATTTTAGTTCAGGAGATATTTGCAATTTTGTGAAATTTTGAAAAAAACGGGATAATGAACTTTCAATCGCAATTACAACTAAACCATTCGGCTTATGGCTGTGATTTTTTTTTGAGATAAGCTAAATGGATAGTTTTAGCAATAGTTATGTCACTTTGTAACAGAGCTAACTAGAAATCAACGCAAAATATCTTAAATTCATTGTTTTGTGAAAAATCTCTTCCATCCCTCAACTTTGGAAGGCGGTAAAAAAAATTGAGGTTGTATTTCATTATTCATTTTATTATAAAAGCTTTTTCAATCCATGTAGAATGCATTCGTTGATGTGATGCGATAAACGTGAGAAACGCAAAAATTACTCATATATCAAGACAATTTATGGACCACATCAAATTTTCTGAGCAAATTTCTAAAGGGGTGGCAGCCAAAAACCAGATAATTGCAAATCGATGACAAGCCTTAGGGAATGGGTGCCCTCGTTAAAATATGTCTCGAAAAATTACTCATATATTAGGACAATTTGTGGCCCACATCAAATGTACCGAGCGAACTTCGAAAGGAGTAGAAGCCAAAAACCACATAACTAAAAAAAATTATTTCAACCCTTAAGGAATGAATGTTCTTGATGGAATGTGTCTTAAAAAATTACTCTTTTATCAAGACAATTTATGGACCACATCCAATTTACTGAGCCAACTTCTAAAGGGGTAGCAGCAAAAAATCAGATAATTAAGAAATCGATTTCAGCCCTTAGGAATGGGTGTCCTCGATGAAATATACCTCGAAAAATCACTTGAATAATGAATGATGAACTGAGCCATGGAGCCTATAATAGAATAAGGATATCCTCTGGACACTTCGAAACATTTTAAATGCCAGAACAGGTCAGGAAAATTCATACTCTTCAACGTTACTGACTTTGAACAACTCTTAAATCCAAAACAGAGCCTAAAAAATTATTAAAGCACCATCCACATTTGTAGTTGCCTATGTGCATTCATTTCGGGCCTGATGAAGTCAACAGGCAGTAGTACATATCCCTCGGGTTACCTTCTGTTTTCTATTTGTTATATACCTTTCTCCGAATGATCTTTTTCTCTTTATATATATACATATATCCAAAACTTTGCATAATAGCAAAAATCTGGCCTGTAGTGCATATATTCCACCTAACACTACAAATGTGTCGAATATTCATAGTCTCCTAAAGCACTTTCTACTCTATGGGGGTTAGTCTGAATAATAAGATATTCGATTGCACTTTGTACATATGCATTGAGAACCAAATCTGACTGATGACTTGAGTTCAATGTGTACGAGAGAGTAGTGTGTATAGACACATATGTTATGTTAGAAATAGATAGAAGCTTGATAGCGAGGCTCATCACCGCATTGCCTAGCAACGCTGACGCGGCAATATTTCTCGTTGCCAATATGCTGCACCATGCCACCATGTTGAAAATATGCGTTAGGTCATTCTCTCCTCCCAAATAATGGTTTTATTTCGAGCGTACGGCGCTCCATTTTAGGTAGAAATGAATGGTCAGGATCGCCACAGACCTCCATGATCATAGATGAGCGATTTTGGTCAGAACAGATATGGCGCTCATTGGGGAGTGTCGTTCTGCTTCAAAATGGTTTTCATCTGCGTCCACGCAAGGCCGTGATAATTTGTATTGCGTAATGGTGTTTGTTAAATTTCCATACCGCTCGCTGTCGCAAAATGTAACAATAACTCAGGATGTGTTAATTTTATTACCATCGGTGGAAATCAAAGATAAAATATAAGATAAAAAATAATATATGGTAAATTAAAACACTAAGTCGCATCAAAATTGAAATAAATAATTCTATTCAAAATTAAAACAAAATATTAAATTGAATGTTCGAACCGACCTAACCTATTGTAGAATCCTGTGCGAATATTTTCTGGTGTAACGTATTGGCAATGCGGCAGATTGCACCACCTTCTGCGTCACAGTTGCTAGGCAATGCTTGATGACTTAGCTCTTCAGACGACTTCTATCTCTTTCTAACATGTGTTGATATATACTTCTAGCGCTTCTCTCACGTACACATTGAACTCAAGCCGTTAGACAAATTTGGTTTTCCCTGTATATTAGTTGCTGCATTTGTTGGTATAGGACTTACCTTTCATATTTGAGACATAGAAATGGGACATTCTCCAGGTGCTTTATTAATTGTTTAGGCTCTGTTTTTGGATTTAATAATTGATCAAAGTGAGTAACGTTGAAAAAATGCATCTTTTTGACCTGTTTTGGCATTTAAAATTTATCGAAGTGTCCACAGGATATCCTTATTTTATTATACGCCCATGGTTCAGTGCATCATTCATTCTAAGTAAAACGCTGAGCTGAAATATTTAAAGCAACAATGATAAAGCGTCAGTCAACAATAAAAGTAGAACCAATTATACCGTCCAAAGAGAAACTTGGGCAGATACCGTCTGTGTGCATATACCTTTTAATTAAACACTAACTACTGCTTACCTTTAATTATAATGTCTGAACATTGTTACAGACAAGTCTCAAAGCGTAAAAAACCCTTTCAATCAATATATTCACAGTTACAATTATTGTAACGCTTCTTGGTTATATATTAAAGCGACTGGTAGCCAGTCTGACCATTTTACAAAATTAAAATGTCCGTTGATTGTTTCTCAGCTGTCGATCTATATTTCAAGCTCTTCGGAATCTGGATGGTTAACAGTACAAGATCCAGAATGATTTTGTATATTATATGGAACGGGTTCATATTTTTTTTAGCTTTTGGATTCTTAACACTAGAAGCTATGATGATCAAAACCAACATGAAAGATCTCAAACTGTTCTTCAAAGGTTTTGGTTTGTTCGCAGGGCACGCGATTGCCCTGCTGAAGTATTGTGTGATGCTGATTAACTATGACAAGCTTTCTAGCCTTAAGAACAGACTCCGAAGTAGGGATTTCATCTACGACACCTATGGTAAGATATACTGGCAGTAGTAAGTATAAATTGCAGAAACACCCGATTTAAAAAGATATGAGTTGCTCATTCCAAGCAAAAAAAAGTGGCATCAAGCAGGTTGACTCTTCACTTCCCACGCAACTCAGTCTTCTAGATCATGTTGCAGCAATTGAAGGTATCGTTCTGCAGTCAATGAGTTGTGGTAAATAAATGGACCTAATCTTTTGGACCCGAGAATTCCACACAACATATTAAGCCTAAAACGTTCCTGATGTCTTGATACTTTTTTAGCCCACAGACTTTCTTGAGCCCAGGAATGAGTGTTGTGGCAATCAAAGACACCAATTAGTGACCATACTCTCGTCGGACCATAATATTTTTGGAGGGAAAGTAAAATCTTCTTCACACATTCGTGTGTACCACTCACAAAAATGCTGGCGCCATTCGCTATACCCTGGTGTAAGTCCTTGGCTTATCCCGAATTCATAGGCGTGATATCTGTATTTACGCAAAATAAATTGGGGTGTGGATTTGGCTACTTCTACATTTTCCTCAATTTGCATAGTTGATATCTCAGAGTTCTCAGAAACTGCTTGTAAAACATTGTTCGAATATCGAGACAACTCTAAAAATTAGACTTACTGACTGCCTTATTTCGGGAAATTTATCAAGGTACACTTCTGCAGTATTTTTACAATTTTTGTAGCATATAATTTAGCACATCAGCATGTCAAATTTTTCTTCATTGTTAAAATGACCGCCTGCAATCTTAGACGATAATAAAGCAATATTAACAATACACAATAAAAACAATACTCGGTGACAGGTATTTACGTCAGTCAAGCACAACGTTGAATTCATATAAAAATGCTATTAGATACAGAGTGTACTTTTTTCGGACCATTTAAAAAATGATGGTTTCGCAAATACGAACCATTGGGCACAAAATTTAAAAACACCATCGTTTAGTACATGAAAAGTGCCAATGGAAAAGTTTCATTAGTTTTTTGATATTTCTTGAAATAAAGTCAGAAAAAAAATAAAAGCGATTTTGTCAAATTTTAGTTTCTCCCAGATATCTCTCTAAGCCATGAACTTTTTTTTTAGTGTTTTTTGTTTGCTGAATTTCTTCTGTTGGCGATTTCAAAATGACCGAAAACAGCAAACATTGATTTTTGCGTGAAAGCGTGAATCTGGTAAAATCATATCCACCTGCTTCGGAAATGACGAGTTATCTCAACGTTTTTGGGTACGATGCTTGCAAGATGTCTTTCAGAT